CCGGGCCATTGTCCGCGCGGCCCGCCGCCCCCGCCCGGCCCGCGCCCACCTACCCGCGGCGGGGGCCAGGCTGCAGCAGAGCGCCAGCAGCAGCAGCGGCGACGGCGGCGGCGGCCGGGGCGGCGGCGCCTCCATGTTGTCCGGCGGCCGGACGGGCCCGCGCCGCGCTCACTCGGGCTCCATGGCGCGGCGGCAGCGGCTCCTCGCGCGGCTCCCGGCGCCTCCCGCCTCCCCCCTCGGGCGCCGCGGACCAGGACGACGGGGAGGAGGGAGCAGGGCGCGCGGGAGCGGAAGCCGCGCCGCGTCTCCGCCCCCCGCCGCCGCCGCCCGCGCCCCCCCCGGCCGCCCAGACGGCGGCCCCCGCGGCGCAGACGCCCCAGCCCCCCACCGCCCCCAAAGGGGCTAGCGACGCCAAGCTCTGCGCTCTGTACAAAGAGGCCGAGCTGCGCCTGAAGGGCAGCAGCAACACCACGGAGTGTGTACCCGTGCCCACCTCCGAGCACGTGGCCGAGATCGTGGGCAGGCAAGGTAAGCGGACGCCGGGACCACTGAGAGGGATTGGAGTGGGGGGACACCCTGTCCCCAGCGCGGAAAGTTCATTTCTTCCCTCTTTGCCCGCCTCCAGCTCTGTCCCTTCCCCACAAAGGGGGACCCGCCCCCTACCCTGATTTCCAAGTGCCACAAAGTTCCCTGCTACCCCTAGTTGGGACGGTTGTCCAGATCCTTCCTCTCCCAGGGCTCTGCCCTTAAACAAAGAAATATCCTTGCTCTGGGAGAGGGGAAGGGGAGGAGGCTCGGTCTCCCAATCCAGGGAGGCTGTCCGGAGGGGGTGTTCACTCCTAGCCAGAAAAACTGACGGAATGTGCAAAGAGTTCCTCCGAAGCCCCTACTCCGGTATCTGCTCGTGGGTTGGGCAGGAGGCACCCCTAGAACCCCCAGCCACCGGGAGTTACAGACTTTGGGGGAGACCTGGTCCACGAAGCCAGACTGAGTATCTGTCTCTTTGTTGGCCTGAGTGTTGGAATGGAAGGGGGTGTGGCCCAGGGAAGGGTCCCAGCCAGGGGGAGAGGTTGTGAGGGGGACCACTGGGAGGAGGGGGTCCTGTGGTCACCCACACACCAAAGTTGGACTGTCTGTGGGGTTTTGGAAGGGGTGTCTCCAAGGAAGTGCTACGTCCTGCCATGGACCTCTCCTCCTCTCTCTCTGGCTTTTGTTCTGGGCTGGCCACGGCCTGGGGCCAGAGGCCTACGGAGGGGTCTCTGGTAGTGAAAGAGTAGAACTGGGCAGGAGGGGATATGCTGGGGGTGAGAAACCTTCACTTGGAAATTTGGTGGAGGGCATGAGTCTGGGTGTGTTGGGGGAGGCGTAGAATTAATCCAGTGTAGTATGTCTGATACCACACCCTCCTCGGCTCCAGCATCCCTGGGTGGGTGGGTGGGAGTGTTGGTGAGGGTCCAAATTGAGCAGACGGGATCTTGGGGACCCTTCCCTCTCTCCGTTTCCCAAAGGGGAGTGGGGAGGGTGGGATTTGGAAATTACAAAGGGGCTGGGCTGGGGAGGTGTGGGGTGGGGGAGGAGTGGGGGAGGAGCTGTCCCACGGTGGGGAACAATAGAGGAGCTACATTCCGCCTGGGTGTGAGGGAGGAGGCCAGCTCCTGGTGGAGGAAAAGGGGAGGTGGGCCAGGGGGGGCTCTATTCCAAATTGCACCTCATCCACTGGGAGTGCTGGTGGTTAGGGGGATTTCTCGGGGAGATCCAGAATGGAGGAAGGGAAGGTGCCACTCCCCTGCACAGCCCTCATCCCCCTGGGGCACTCCATCTCTTGAGATTTCTGATGTAGAAAGTTGGATTTCCTCTTGTCAGAAACTGGGGATCCAAAGCTCTGGAACTGGGTGGTGACAGACATTGATATCTTTTCTTGGGTGTGGGGGTGGTTTGGGGAGGCCCCAGGATTTAATGGAGTCATTCTTTCCTCTTCTGCCTCCTCATCAGATCGGCCTGTCCCTCATAAAAGTAGGAGGATTTCTCTTGTTCAGAGAAGATAAGCCTCCCCCTCATTCCTTAAGTATATGAAAGTCCTCCCTCTTGTCTAACCTCCCTCCTGCTGCTGCAGTGTTAGTGCTCCTTTATTTGACCTCTAGGAAGGTGAAGCCCAGTGGGTCTTCCCTTCAAAAGATGCTGCTTCACAGCATTGCCAAACCCAGGAGGAGGTCTACCACGGCTGTTGCACCTCCAGGCCTCTAGCTTTTCTCCTTACTCTCATGCCCTGTCCTGTCCCCAGCCCAACCCCCACAGATACCTAGCTCTCACTTCAGTTTATGGACCCAAAACTTAGAGCCAGATCCCAGGTGTCCATCAGATGACATGGGAATAGAAGTGGTAGGACAGAGGACTTCACTTTTTCTCAACCCTCTATGCCTCACAAACAGAACAATCATTTACCTTGGGACATTAAAGCAGCAAGGATGTGGGCCTGACAACAGGTAGGACTTCTTAACTGTCAGGGAGGAGCAGGGGGGAGGAGCAAATTCTCCTTCCTGAGGTTCCTTAAAGGTGAGGGGAGTGGGCCCCCAATCCACCCTATCCTCCCCACCCCCCAATCTGCTAAGGTTGGAGAAGAAGCCATCTGGAGTGGAGGAAGGAGGAAAAAAATGAGCTCATCTCAGGCTGTGGTTGGAGGGTTGAGGCAGAGTCATGGAAGTGGGACCACTTGGTTTTGGAAAGGTAGCGAAGTGGGGGAGTGAGAAAAGGAATAGTGAGTTGTGTCTGGAGAGGGGTGTGAATGGGGGCAAAAGTTGTGGGTGTGTACAAGAATGTGCCGTTTGCGTGCTCGGGAGGATGTGCATGGAGAAGTGGGATGTATGAAAGATGGAAACATAGGGACTTGTATGTGAAAGAGGTGTATGAAAGTGTGCATTAGGCCGGCCCTGCAAGTATGGTTTAGATAAAGGCACACAGCGCATCACCACTGTTAGGTATGTGTGTGCAAACTCACACACATGTGGCATGTGTGCTCGGAGAAAGGCTTGGTGTGAAGCTAGGGCCAGGTGGAAAGGAGGAGAGGGGCTATCCAGTCAGCCATCAGGTGTGCAGCTTTTAGAGACGGTGTGGCCGTCCCAGCCTCCCTCACTCTCTCCCCTTCTCCCTCTTTGTCTCTCTTTGTCTCGCTTTTCTTCTTTCTCTTCCTACCTCTCTTCAATCTCCCAGCTTTAACCTACTTCAAAGCAGGAGTATGGGCCCAGAATACCCTCATCCCACTCAGCTCCTCACCCATCTCAGCTTTCCTGCCCCCAGGGGACAGGGGGATAGGAGTGACATGGGGTTGAGTGCTGCTCCCTCACCTGGGATTTTCTTTATCTTCATACTCCTCCTTTCCCTCTCGAAATTCCGGGTCTCAGACCCTTCCCAGTCTCACGCACTCCACTACTTGCTGCAAACGCATTATGAATTTGGGACCCACCGAGACAGACTACTGGGTGGAAGGTATGGGGGGGAGGTCATAGAGCTGGTGGATGTTGGCAGTCTTTTGAGTAGTTGGAGGACACTTTTAATGACTGAGTGTCAAATGAGGAGATTGTGAGGTTACTGAGCACATTGGGGTTCTGTGGAAAGATTGGGGTTGGTGACAGATGCGGGGGCAGTGATTAAATGATTTGGAAGTTTGTGAGTAACCAGGGATCAGTAGAGAAATTGAGAGAACAGCAAACGTTTGGGGAGGAGTTTGTGAATAGATTTGAGGTTAGCAGCTTATATGGGAAGGTCAGTGCTTATTTGGGGGTTTCAAGGAGTGAATGAATTTGGAAGGTCCTGAATGGAACTCGGGGGAAATTTAGTACATTTTAAAATGGACGTTGGGTAGATCTGAGGTCCGATGAGTGGACTGTGCGTGTAGTAGTGGGGGTTTCAAAGGGTGGACTGGAGGGTTCTGGGAGGCCAGGAATCTGGGTACAGATCAGGAGCTTATTGGTCCCAGCACAACCCTTCTTGCCCTGTGAGTTTCTTTCTCTTTCCCCCTCCCCACCCCATCCCAGGCTGCAAGATTAAGGCTCTGAGGGCCAAGACCAACACCTACATCAAGACACCAGTGCGGGGCGAGGAGCCAGTGTTCATGGTGACAGGGCGGCGGGAGGACGTGGCCACAGCCCGGCGGGAAATCATCTCAGCAGCGGAGCATTTCTCCATGATCCGCGCCTCCCGCAACAAGTCAGGCGCCGCCTTTGGTGTGGCCCCTGCTCTGCCTGGCCAGGTGACCATCCGTGTGCGGGTTCCCTACCGCGTGGTGGGGCTGGTGGTGGGCCCTAAAGGGGCAACCATCAAGCGCATCCAGCAGCAGACCAACACGTACATTATCACACCAAGCCGTGACCGCGACCCAGTGTTCGAGATCACAGGTGCCCCGGGCAACGTGGAGCGTGCGCGCGAGGAGATCGAGACGCACATCGCAGTGCGCACAGGCAAGATCCTCGAGTACAACAATGAAAATGACTTCTTGGCTGGGAGCCCCGATGCCGCACTTGATAGCCGCTACTCCGACGCCTGGCGGGTGCACCCTCCAGGCTGCAAGCCCCTCTCCACCTTCCGGCAGAACAGCCTGGGCTGCATCGGCGAGTGCGGAGTGGACTCAGGCTTTGAGGCCCCACGCCTGGGCGAGCAGGGCGGGGACTTTGGCTATGGCGGGTACCTGTTTCCGGGCTATGGTGTGGGCAAGCAGGACGTGTACTACGGCGTGGCTGAGACTAGCCCCCCGCTGTGGGCGGGCCAGGAGAACGCCACGCCCACCTCGGTGCTCTTCTCCTCGGCCTCCTCCTCCTCCTCCTCTTCCGCTAAGGCCCGCGCTGGGCCTCCCGGCGCGCACCGCTCTCCTGCTACTTCCGCAGGGCCGGAGCTGGCAGGACTCCCAAGGCGTCCGCCGGGAGAGCCGCTCCAGGGCTTCTCTAAACTTGGAGGGGGCGGCCTGCGGAGCCCCGGCGGCGGGCGGGATTGCATGGTGTGCTTTGAGAGCGAAGTGACTGCCGCCCTCGTGCCCTGCGGACACAACCTGTTCTGCATGGAGTGTGCAGTGCGCATTTGCGAGAGGACGGACCCGGAGTGTCCCGTCTGCCACATCACAGCCACGCAAGCCATCCGAATATTCTCCTAAGCCCCCTGCCTCCTGGGCCTACTCCCCAAGGGCCCGCCCTGGACCTGTTTTCCACAAGAGCCTTTTGGAAATCAGTGATTTGAGGGGCAAGGTGCTTAGAGATACTCGCTCTCTGGGGGGGAGGGAGGCTGTGGTGGCTGGAGGGTGAGCCACTTTCAGAGCCGCTGGTCACCTTTTCCTGGAAAGATTGGGAGGGGGCCAGACTGAAAATACTAGAGTTACAACTCTGATACCTCAACATACCCTTAAATCTGGAAGCAGCTAAGAGAAACTTCTGTTTTGCCAGAGGTGGCCACTAAGGCATTCTGACCCCCTCTGCCCACCTCCCCAACTGTGTGTCACTCTACCCCTTCCTCTGTGGAGGGGATGGGGAAAAAGGGGAGGGAGAATTGCCACCTGTATCTAGAGGTGCTCTTTTGAACCCCCAAGCCCTCTGGTCCTGACCTCCTAACATGACCCTTTGGCTACCCCACCGCCATATCCTGTTGGGGAAACTGTTCCTCAGTTTCTCACGGAATAAGGGAGTTGGAGCCCTATCAGAAGCCTGCATAGATCTGGGGAATGGGGTAGAGGAGAATCACGTCAATGGATAAAGGGCTCAGAATTCATCTGCCCCCACAAAGCTGGGCTGGAGGAATCTGCGGAGGGGTGCTCCTCTCTGCCCCCTTCAGCATTTCCCTTCACTCCCTTCACCCCATCTCTCTTCCCTTTGGGATCTTCCTTCTCCTTCGCTCTTTCCTTTCCCTCCACCTCTTTGCTTTGTTTTCCCTTGGTGGCTGTCACTCCCAACCCTGTCTTGCTCCTTCTCTTTGTCTTTCTTCCCTTCTCCCCCATCACTCCTGCCCCTTCCAGCCCAGCTTTGGGGACCCTATCCCCCCTGGGGACGAATAGAGGGAAGAACATTTTGACAGTCTCTCCCATTCCTCTTCAGGCTTGTGGAGGCCCTCTCCCCTGCTCCTCCAAAGAAACATCTCAAATCTTTTATGGAAATTTGAGGAGGGGGACTAATACTGGGGTACGTAAAGGGTCAAACCCCCACCTTCATCATCTATGGGCATTATATTTAGGGAGGAGTTCTTGGGCTGGATTTTCTGGTTGTAGAAGAAGGGGAGCCAGGGTAGTGTGTCTGCTATTTCAAGGAGCAGGAAAGGGCCTGAGGCAGGAGGAGAGACTCGTGGAGGGAAGCGCTGCTGCCCCATACCCTGCATGCCTCTCTGGACCTGACCCAAACCTTAATTGAATCCTTATTAGCTTGAATCCTTATTAGTGTGCAAATCATGAAGTCTCTGTCCCACCCATTGTGGCTGAGGACAAGCCAGGTCTTCAGAGAGGGGTCAGCCCAGGGCAAAGCAGGATTGGGGCACAGCAGAGCCTGTTTGAGAGTCATGTATTGTTACAGGCCTCGCCCCCTCTTTGCTGCTTCCCTACTGCTCCCTTGGGGTTGCCACCAGCCTCCCACCCTCCTGGTTCCACCCTCCTGGTTCCGCTGGCGGGCCAGGAGGGGATGAGGGATGGGAGTCCTAGGGGGTCCCAGGAGATCCTTGTATATAATGGGGTGGGACTGTTCTGAGTGATCGCTGAGCACTTAAAGCTCAGGAGTCCCATTCTTCCTGGATGGAGAAGTGGTGCAGGGATGGAGGTGCAGAGGGGATTTCCTCCTCTCCTTTCTCCTGTTGTGAATTAACTCACCTCTCCTCAGCCTTCCCCTCCAGACCACCAGCCAGGGAGGTGAGAGGAAGGCGGTCACAGCCAAGAAAACTGGCCTGTGACTGCTTCCCTCCTTCCCGCCAATGTGAGCCATCCTGAGATGTCTGTACAATAGAAACCAAACCAAATGGGCACCCTCGGTTGCCGGGGGCGGGTGGGGAGGGGGGTGGGAAGAAAGGATGTCTGTCTGTCGATCCCCCTCCCCCTCTCCACTCCTTACCCACAAAGGCAGAAGACTGTTACACTAGGGGGCTCAGCAAATTCAATCCCACCCCTACCAATTGAGCCAAACCTAGAAGCAAACGCAAAACACACATAGTGAGAGACAAAATAGAGGAGAGAAAGAGAGCATGAGAGGGAGTGAGACAGGCGACCAACACAGAGGAGAGAAAACAAAAATAGCAAAAAAAAAAAAAAAGCAGTTCTTTATAATTTAATATTCTATTTTAATAAAGGCGTTTATTACCGTATAAATGTAGCAAAGAACCTGGGCTAATATGAAAAAAAGACTTTTTATTAGGTAATTTATTATATGAAAAGGATATTTTATTTTATGATAAAGTGATCCTTAAAAAAATAAAAAAACTTTAGAAGGTTTAGAATATATGTAGGGAGAGAAGAAGAAAAAATACATTTGTATTCAGAGTTAAATCTTAAAAAAAAAAAAGTGTTTTTAATATATGTTCGGGTTTATGTTGCTTTTTTTCCCCCACTTTTTTTTGGGGAGGAATGTCATTTGCTTTTCTTGGGGGAGCATCCTGGGATGGATGGTGGAGAGAGGGGCTGGGGGAGCCTGGTCCCGTATGGGGCCTGCAAGTAGATTGGATTTCATCCCGTGGGCTCCCCCTCCCCTCTCCTCCTCCCCCTCAGAGGAGCTGGCAGAGCCAAACAAAGAAAGGGATTAACAAGAAAGGAAGAAGCTGTAGGACTAAGGACTGAGGATCCTGGGGTGTCCCCCCCTTTCCCCTGCCCTGTCTCAGGGGCAAGTGAGGAGGGGAACTCCAGAACTGAGGCTTAGCAGGCCTAGGGAACCCTCAGAGAGGTGTGAGATTTAAGAGAAATAGATTTTTTTTTAACCAAAAAGAGAAAGAGAGAGAGAGAAAAGAAAAAGAGAAACCGAGGGGTTTAAAAGAAGAGAATACTACAAAATAATAATTATTAATAATAATAATTCAAATTTATTTCATATAATCCTAGAGAAAGAAAGAAAGAATTACTAGTTACTTAGTAGATGATATTCAGATAGCTTAAAGTTTAGTAGCATTGAGGGCCCCTGGGTCCAGTAGAATGTATAAAAGTTGTAAGGAAAAGATAAATAGAGGAGGGAAGTGGCTGAGTCCACCCTGAGTTGCCCCATCTCCAGATACCAGGGTTGGAGCAGGTTGCTAGTTAAGATTGGGAGCTTCCAGTCTGCTGGGGTTGATTCTGAGAATCCTTGGATTTTTAAATTGTAGGACAAAGAGATGAGGGGCTCAGTTCCCAGGGTCTTTGAAAGGATGCACACTGATCAGCTCAATCAGATGGGGGGCTGGGCTGGGGGCAGCAGAGGAGACTGAGCACACTTGCCTGCACCCCCAGTACCTGGGGGCCTGGCCATCCCTCTGTCTCCTTTGGGCAGCCCTTACTCCAAAGTTGTATGTCCTCTCCTGGGGCTCTCAGGAAGGATGGAGACTGCTCAGCTCAGACCTCCCAAGCCAGCTTCTCCCAGGCCTAAATGAGGAGTCCTTCTTGAAGTATAACCTCAGTCCACTTAACTACAGATTGATTTAAGAGCCTGGTAAGTCATCCCATAAGCAGACACACACTTCTCACCCTCAGAGCTTCAAGAGCACTGAGGGGATCAGTCCTCCACCCCTGTTCCCATCGCACATTCCACTGAGCTTTTGACCTCCATGGCAGCAGTGGTGGTAACATCTCAATAATTGTTCTTTAAAGCTGTGATGTGCTTTACAGATTTGCAAAGTGCTTTATTGTCTCATAGAAGTTAGATTCCAAGAAGGACTTCCCACCCAGTGAGGTAGAGTGGAGACACTGTCCTTGAAGGCCTGGGAGAAGGGGGCTGCAAGGGTGTGGTGGCAGGGGAAGGGCACAGGGACCTTGGGTGACCCCAACCAAGCCCTCTCTGCTCTAGTCCACCTCCATCTTAAGTGTGCAGGTAGGGGTCGTCCACTGTCCCTGGCATGGAGGCACATTGCCCTCCTCACAGAAAATTGGAGAGCCTGGCTTTTGCATGCAGGAAATCAACATTTCTTAAGCACTTGCCTTCTCCCCACCCCAGCTTGCAATGAGATCTTCAGGGTCAGGTCACATCTGGCCTTTCCCGGCATCCAAGGGGGTGGGGAGGCCTCTTGGCTCTCCTTTTGGCAAGAGGAGCCTGCTCTGTTACACCAATGACCCTGCCATGCCCCTCCCTGGCCCTAGACCCCAAACACATCTCCCTCTCCCCAATTTACTCTTCTTGCCCCACCTAGGGACAGATTTCCCCCTGCTCTTTTTGTCCTAGAAACCCCGCTAGTTTGGGATGGTAGAGTCTGGGGTGGGGAGGGCTTCCCCTTCCCCACTCAGGGTGAGGGTGGGGTGGGGGGGTGGGTGGAGACAGCCCTGGGGCAGGGGGATGGTCTCTCCACTGTAGAAAGTAGAGTAGGATTGTGGTCAGACTTAATTTGAGGCATCTAGTGAAGACGCGTACAAATCCACCAAGGAAAAAGATTTCAAAAGCAAAATAAAGGCGGGAAATAAAATGGACCCATGAATAATCAAGTCAAAGTGATGTTGCACAAAATGCAGAGAAACCAAGAAGGGGGAGGGTTAATGTATTAAATGTGCTATTAAGAACTTAATTTTATTAAAAGTATTATTACTTAAGGCCGTCTTTCTCTGCATGTGAGTCTATACCATCTTGGGGTGAGTGGGAGGATCTGCCATGGGGATTGTAGCTTGGGCTTTTCTCTAGTGTAACTCTGTGCCCTTACACACCTTGCAGGAAGTGGATGTCTCCAGAGTTGCCTGCCACCCTTGGGCTCCCCCTCTCAGTTCTCCACAGCTCCCTACTTGAGTCTCCAAGCTCTCAATCCCCCACCCAACCCCCTACCGCCTTTATTTATTTATTTATTTATTTTCGAGACAGGGTCTCGCTCTGTCACCCTGACCAGAGTATAGTGGCCTCATTATATATAGCTCACAGCAACCTCAAACTCCTGGGCTCGAGCGATCTTTCTGCCTTAGCCTCCCTAGTAACTGGGACTACAGGTGCATGCTATTATGCCTGACTAATTTTTCTATTTTTTGTAGAGTTGGGGTCTGATTCTTGCTCAGGCTGGTCTCGAACTCCTGGCCTCAAGCAATCTTCCCTCCTTGGCCTCCCAAAGTTCTAGGCTTACAGGAGTGAGTCACCATTCCCAGCTCCTGCTTTTTTTCTCCATTTACTCCCTTCTCTTCTTTGGAGATACGGTCAGGCCTCCTTCTCCCCTGCCCTGCAGAACAGGGGAAAGTGAGTCAGGGTGACAGAGACCCTGCCTGGATAGCCCTCTCCTAGGCTCCATGGAGAAGGGGCAGAAAGCTGAGAGATAGACCCTCCCCACTCACCCCATCAGATTCAATCTATGTCTCTTTGGGGTCAGGAAGAAGACTGGATGGAGGACTTGGACCTTCCACCTCCCAGGCTTAAATACCCCTTCCCCAGCACACACATACAGGGCTGGCCTTCACTCCCCCTTTTCCTTTGCATCTCCCCCTGCCTCCTCCCCTTGCCCCTGGCATTGGAGTGACCTCAGTTCTTGGCACCAGGGCCCTGGGCACCAGATGGTGCCCACTGATGATTTCCTTTGTCTTGCCTTCCAGATACCCCCTCCCCTCCATGCTGTCCTCCCTCCCCCACCTGCCCTGGGCTTTGGCAAAGGGAAGGGCAGGCACCTCCCACCCCCTTGGCACCGTCCCCAGACCACAGGACTCCAGAGGCAGCTGGCCCTGAGGGGCAGTGGGTATGGTGGGGAGGATAGAAGATGTGGGGGAAGGGCATCATGGACTCAGAGGAGGGGCCAAAGTTGCAAGGGGAAGCACAGACAGGAGGCAGCAGAATGGCCAGGCATTAATACAAAACACAGCTTTATTTGAGGGTCCTCATCTGTGAAGGGTGGAAAGATAATAGAGATATGTGTGGTGGGGCATGAAGACCTTAAGGCTCCAGGGGCTGTGAACAGGGAACCAGACACTCTGACATCTGGAACCAAAGGGCAGGGAAGGGTCCTGGAGCTGGGGTGGGGATGAGGGGCACCAGAAAGCCAGTGGGGGCAGGGTTGGTGCTGGCCAAGGTCAGAGGTTGATGCAACAGGCCCTCTTCTCTCCAGAGCCAGGCTCCTGCCCAGCCTGGGCACTGCCCAAAGTGATGGCATTGGTCCGGGTGCTGTTCTGTCTCTGCTTGGACACCTTTGCAAAGATCTCTGAGAGGGCAGAGGTCAATGATCAGGCCGGAAGAAGACTTAGAGCTCAAGCCCCTCCCTTGCTACACACACACACCGCATGCCCCTTCTGAGCACTGGGGGTGGCCACGCTTGTAGGAGGTTTTGCAGGAAGGAAGTGGAGTGTGGGTACCTGGGTCCCTTCTACTTACCTGTGTGGACAAGGAACCAAGACTGAGCTGCTGAGAAGTGTGGCCTTCTGCTTCCTTCCCTAAGCTCCAGGCTAAGTAGGGGGTGGAACTGAGGGTGTCAAGGGAGATAGGCAGTGGTGCCAGGACCCCACAGAGGAGCTGGGGAATCCGCTGGGGTGAGGGCTGGGTGTCTACATTCCTACTGCTGCCCACAGAAGCCACAGGGATGGAATGAGGGTGCCAAATGGAGGCTCTAACCTTTAAGGACAGTCTCAAAGGCCAGCTCAACATTGGTGGAGTCCAGGGCTGAGGTTTCCAGGAAGAGCAGACCATTGTTTTCTGCCAGGAAGGGAAACACATCGTTAATTATTGGGGGTCAAAGGCAGTAATAATAATATGAACTTAGTGTTTACTATGTACATTTGCTATGTGCTAAACCCCTGGCATGTAGTAGCTCATTTAATCCTTAAAACAACGTACGAGGTAGGTTCAGTTAGGAAACTGAAATCCAGAAACACAAAAAGAACAAATAAGAAACTTGCTCCATGTTCCACATCTAGTAACTGGGCAAGAGGAGACAGGAGGCTGGGCTGTGGGTCCCCAGATCCGCTACCATATCGCGATGCCTCTAAACCCACGAAACTCCTGGGCAAAGTGTGACTGCAGATGGTTAAGGGAAGCTCACTCTCTACACAGGATCTTTGAGCACTATGGGGCGGGGCTGTCTTAAAATCAGTTATGAATCATTGTGGATGAAGGCGGTCTCAGGGCAAGTGGTAGGACATCGTGGGAGACACGGGGTCCCAGAGGGGAATGGCTGGGA